AGAGTCTATATTTCTTGGTGTTCTAAGAAACAACCAATGGTTACATTGTCAACCTGTGTAGTTGAATACATAATTGGTGCTTTGTCAGCTTGTCAGGCTGCCTGGCTTATGGATTTGCTGTAGGAACTGAAGTTTAAGGTGGACAAACCAGTCAAGTTAATGATTGACAACAAAGCTCTCATAAGTCTTGCTAAGAATCCAGTGCTCCATGGAAGAAGTAAGAACATTGATACTAAGTACCATTTTTTGCGCAATTAGGTTCATAATGGAGTACTTGAGGTTGTTCATACGAGCACTCATAACAACTTGCAGATGTGTTGACCAAGGCAATCAAAATTGAACACTTCCTCAATTTGAGGGATGAAATTGATGTCGTTGATTTTTAAACTTGTATGTGAATTAAAGGATGGTGTTGAATGTAATTTAACATTCAAGTTAGTTTATTTTTTAATTTCATTTGAAGTTGCATTTGAATTAGAATTTGTATTTAATGTGCATTTAAGTTTGGATGAATCCATATATACCCAACGAAAGTGAATTTGTAACATAATATGTAATTCGAAGAAAAAAATTCCACCTCTCTCTCTTTCTCTGGTTTTTCGAGAGAAACATATTTGGACGTCCTTGCTTACAACACTGTAATTTCATTTTGCTGACCATCTTCCTATACTTTATAGAGTTACTAAACTGAAAAACACTTGTATTTTTCTATAACTGTGTCACGTATTTGGAAAGCATATTCGAGGGCAATATTCATGGAGAATATGATTTGTGATTTAATTCAACCAGAAGGATTTATTCCTTAAAGTGGGAATCAATTTCTTGACACATATTACTTTGCTGAGTATGCAACTGAATATACTGATGATCAGTAGCTTCAATGTGAAATTTGCCTGCCTCCTATTGGTATACCATTTGAGCTTAGCTTTTTTGAAGCTAGAAACTAAATTGCACGAATCATTGCCATTAATTTGGTTTCCTGTTATGGGTATACCATTTGAGCTTAGCTTCACTAAAGATAGAAACTAAATTGAATGAATCATCGTCGTTAATTTGGTTGACTGCTACTGGTATACCGTTTGGGCTTAGCTTCACTAAAGCTAGAAACTAAAATGCATGAATCATTGCTATAAATTTGGTTGTCTGCCACTAGCATACCATTTTAGTTTGGCTTCACTAAAACTAGAAACTAAATTGCATGAATTATTGCCATAATAAACTCTTGGAGGAGAAGTTATATAAATTAAGAAAAATAAGGATATAGTATAAATAAATTTGGATTGGTATATATGGTTATCTCAGTGCTCTTTGTATAGAGTGATAATAAAAATGTAAAAATTTTATTTTATGCAATTATTATTATTTTGTTTATCTTAAATGATTTGGTTTTCGGTTATTGTCATGTATATACTTGATCATTAAGAAAACGTTTACGTGACACGTCATGCCAACATCCGTTATTTAGATCTAACATCATAAATCAAAAAATGTAGATGACAAATAATAGAAGGAGGATTCTTTAACAATTTTTTAAAGATTAAAAATAAAAATATCTATATTTAAAAGAATTAAAAAACATATATAACCCTTAATTATATTGATACTTTTATTTTTAAACTTTTAATAATTTTACTAGAACTTTAGTGATTTTCACATTAAATGTGTAAGATGTGCATATGAATATTACAATACTACCTTTACAATTAATAATATAATTTTTACATTAAATGTGTAAGATAAGATGCACGTGTGAATTTTACAAAACCTCCTTTACAATTAATAATATAAGAAAAATAAAACAAATTTATACTCATCAATTATAAATTTAATAGTCTAGTTGAAAAGAGAAAAAAGTTCAAACAGAAAAGTTTTTAGAATACACCTTGTTATATGCCTTGTTATATGGTACATACTTCAGTTGCCATTTTTATGTTATGAGTTAAAACCTAAACCTGTAAAATTAGGAGTATCATAAATGTTTTGCAGGTCGCTTCATAATAAAAAGCAAACTTTCAGAAACTGAGAGTAAGGTTTGGCTAAATTAAATTAAGGCACTTACTTGATTAAAACCTCAAACTTAAATCATTTATAGATAAAAAATAATATAAAAAAAGGTAAGGAGAGAAGAGTAATATTTGTTTGTTTTATATACACTTTAACTACTTTACCAATGTTAGGTACAAGTCAAATTTTCTTTTTGATTAACTTTTCTGTTTTCATTTTTGTTCACACAAGGACCACATGCACTAGTAGTTGGTTTTTCACCAAAAAAATCCAAAGCTGATGAAGAAGTAGTTTATAATCTGAATTCACAAAAACAAATTCCAAAACTCTCTTGCTCATTTCTATTCTTCCTTTCTATTCATTTTCTATGCTCAATAATTTCAATTCCATTAAAACAAAAAACACATACAATATCATAGAGATCAGAAAGTACTGTCCTGTCTGCGAGATTAAAACGGTAATCTATCCAATAAAAAATGTCATTCATTTAACTCTATTTTTTAACATTTTATTTTAAAATATCGCAAATGAGAATGTATTACTATTAACTAAATACCTCGTTTTCTTTGAAAGAGAACTAAAAACTCCTTAAGAAATATATTTTAAAAATACATAATTAGAGATGGAATACTAACTAATTTAATTCAAATAATCATTAACTGCAAATTAGTTTTCTTATTTTTTTCTAAATGATTGATTAATACTTGCTTTCAAAATACATAAATATAAATAAAACTCAGAGATGGAACACTAACTAATTTAATTCAATTAGTTAAAATAATAATTTTTTTAATATGGAGAGAAAATTTGATGTTAGGTAAATTTTTGTTTTTTTATAAATGAAATATTCTCTATGCACAAGATCAAATGGGAAGAAACTTTGATTTTGCTATCTCATATTTCATCCAAACACGAATAACTTTTTGCTTAGACAACACTAATATAGATAAATTTTATTTATTTGAAAGTGCAATGAAAACTATAATTTAGTATTTTAGTATATATTTTAATAATATTTTTATAATAAATATATAAATATTTATTATTTATAATATTTATTAAATATAAATATAAATTAAACATAATGGATTAGAAATATTAGAGGATAGAAATATTAGAGGATAGAAATATTTATATATATATTATTTCTCTTAAAAAAAACTAAAACCACTTCAATTTAAAATAATTTTGTAAATACCACTATTGTGTTCAAAATCTTCCAGACATCTTTACGACAACATTGGAAATCGAAAACATTAAAAAAAACTACTAATAGTCATTTAGAATCCATGGTATTTAATAGCTACAAATTTGGTTCAAATTTCAGCATGTGAGATCACAACAAAACTATAGGAAAGACTCTCTGTATTTGTCTGTGTTATTGGATTTCCTCAATCAATCTATGCTATTAAGAACCATACAAACAAGTATATAAATGTTTGTGTGTGGTGTGTATTGGATTTCCTTAAGCAATCTATGTATTAAGAAACAAGTATATACATTGTCTTGTCTCTATGAATAAGTCTGGATTTCTCTAAGCAATTAAGACACAAAAGTCATCTTTTCCAAGTATAACCAAGGATGAAGTTATTCTTCAACCAATTCAGACAGAAACAATTCAGACAGAAACAAGTCTACGTGTAAGAAAACAAAATTTGGTTATCGTAAAATATCTTGTTTTGATGAAGCAAATCGCTTAAATTTAAACAAGCTGACAGCAGATGTAAGGTATAAACTATTATACGAAACTTTATGTCAAGATTGAATAACAACTAAAAACTTTATGGAACTTTTTCTTAAATATTCAATGCAAAGTCTAAATAGATACTCTCTAAGAGGTGGCATGTCAAATTAACTATCAACTTAACTCTCAATTAAATGTCAATTTACATTTTTACTTAGTCAGAAAGTCGTGCGTCCATACACATCAATTCTTTCCCAAAGATTGGATATACAAAACAATATGTTAATGGCATATCAAAGTAGGTTTTAAATAAAGATAAAAAAAAAAATAGGTTTGAATGTTGTAAAGGGTGGTTGTCAATGTTCTCAGTCCACTTTCAGTAAAAGATTAAAATAAAATTCTTATAAAATAATAATAAGAAAAAACTAATTAAAAAAATTTTTACCTAATATTTTTTTTCTACTGAATGGTTTATAAAATACGAAATCGAAGTGCTAAAAAGCCTACAGAAATATAATTAATATTAAAAACTAATTCAAATAATGATTGAGAAAGTAAAATATTAAAAAATAGTACCTCTTAAACTTTCGATGATGAAGTCAAATTTTAAAAGGTAAACTTAAAGCTCTTGGTAATTTAGAGTTATGACATTTTCTAAATATCACCATAGTGGTAGTAATTAATAATCTTATATATTTAAAGAGATGGAATATGTTACTTGTTAGGAGGAAAAAAAACATGCTTAGATTCAATATAATATAGACTCTTAATAAATCTTTATGTTTGGCTGCAATTCTATCGACATAACCATGTTAATGTCGTTGTTTTTTATACCATGATTCTATTTATGGAACTTCAATCCAATCCGAAATTGATTTCCAAGCTACCCTAATCTTTGGACAAGTAATCATGATGTGATCAATAATTTCAATTCCATTAAAAAAAAACACATAATATCATAAAGATCAGAAATTACTGTTCTGCGGGATTGAAACGCCATCCATTTAACTCTCATTTTTTAACTTTTTATTTTAAAATATCGCAAATTAGAGTGTATTACTATTAACTAAAAGCCTCTTTTTCTTTGAAAGAGAACTAAAAGCTCCTTAAGGAATATATTTTAAAAATCAGAGGTGTGGATAGTATCTTCTGACTGGGCAATACGATTCATTTTGGGCCTGAAGTCGAACTACGCAGCCCAATATTTTTTTTCATCTTCTTCGTTTTGTTCTTCGACAAAATAGGGTTTTACATTTTGAACAGTTTTCCCATCTCTAGTAACACGAATCAGTGATCAACAAGAGCACCGAAAATGTCTCTGGCACAACGTTACGGAAATGTTAAAAGCATAGTGAAGCGATCGAAAAAGTACATAGATGAAGCGCTTTACTTGAAGCTCTTCAAAGACGGTGGGTCTGAACTCAATGTTCGTCAGCAACTCAACCAGTTCATTAAGAGTGGAAAGCGCGTTTACAAATGGGAAGTTGGCGATACCCTGAAGAAGCTTCGCCAACGCAAACTCTATCAACCTGCTCTCAAGGTATTTCACATTTAAGCATTTTAGGTTGTTAATTTTAATCATGTTCTTATATTCTTCAAAATACAACGATATATTGGTTTGGATCTGTAATGCAGTTATTGTTATTATTGAATCATGAAATGGAGTTCTAAATGATACAAATAGTTATTGTTGTTATTCTTGTTAATTTTATTAATATATCTATATGTTTCTTAGGTCTGTTTGTAAAAATGGGGTCATTAAATTCTTATTGCAGAAGTGCTTATCATTTAAGTGTTTATGTGTATAAGCTATTTCTATCACAAAAGATAAAATTAATTCAAACACTCCAACTGTTTTTTCTTGTAAGTTATAAGTTGTGTGAAGAGCTTACGAAAATAAGCTGAATATAAGTTATAGACATGTCATAGCTGTTTCTATAAGCTCTTCCGAAAAGTCTCATAAGTGATATGTTAGTAGATAACCCTTAGGATTTGTTTGGATTGATGGAATTGAATGGAGCGGTATGGATTGGAATGGAGTGATATTTCATTGTTTGGATAATTTGAAGTCAGATGGAGCAGAGTGGATGGATTCAGTTCGACTCCATCAGTTACCTCCATATTTCTTCTCCTCCGATTTGGGCGGAATGAAGAATTTGGTTTGTTCTGTCCGAAAATTTCCAAACAATGGAAATGGAATATTCATTCCGCTTCATTCCATTCTGCTTCATTCCACTCTGATCCTTTCCATTCCGCTCCGTTCATGTCTTAGTTTTTTTTTTTTACAATTTAAGTAATTATTTTTGTCTTATGCTGTGTTGTTGTCTATGCGGTGAGTGTGGAACAAAACCATGCAACTCTAGAAATAAAGATTATTGGTTGCAGACTATGCTTCCCATAGCTTGAATTTATGAAAAACTGCTCTTTTTCTTGTGTTACAGCTATCAGAAACCATGGCTAAGAGGAATATGATTAAGACTGTTAGTGACCAAGCTATACATATTGATTTGGTTGCAAAAGCTAGAGGTATTACTGCTGCTGAAAATTATTTTGTCAATCTCCCTGAGTCTACAAAAAATCATCTCTGTTATGGTGCCCTTCTTAACTGCTACTGCAAGGAATTGCTGACTGATAAAGCTGAAGGTGTTGTCGAAAAGATGAAGGATCTCGGATTTCCTTTGAGTTCAATGTCATACAACAGCCTTATGACTCTTTATACGAAAGTAGGTCAACCGGAGAAAATTCCTTCCATCATTCAAGAAATGAAGGCTAGCAATATCATGCCGGATTCTTACACATATAATATCTGGATGAGAGCTCTTGCTGCTGTTAATGACATTTCTGGTGTTGAAAGGGTTATTGATGAGATGAAGAGGGATGGTCGAGTAACGGGAGATTGGACAACATATAGCAACCTTGCATCTATTTATGTTGATGCTGGCTTGTTTGAGAAGGCCGAAGGGGCTCTTAAGGAATTGGAGAAGAGGAATGCTCACAAAGATCTTTCTGCTTACCAATTTCTGATTACATTGTATGGGCGAATAGGCAAAGTGTACGAGGTTTATAGGGTCTGGCGTTCTCTTAGGTTGGCATTTCCTAAAACTGCAAACATAAGCTATTTGAATATGATTCAGGTTTTAGTAAACTTGAAGGATCTCCCGGGAGCTGAAAAATGTTTCCGTGAGTGGGAATCGAGCTGCACTACTTATGATATTCGAGTTGTAAATGCTCTGATAGGGGCATACACAAAATCAGACATGTTGGAGAAGGCTGAAGAGCTAAAGGAACGTGCTCGGAGGAGGGGGGCCAAGCCTAATGCTAAAACATGGGAAATATTTTTGACCTACCATTTACGAAAAGGTGACTTTAAGTTGGCGGTGGATTGTTTATCTGAAGCAATATCAATTGGTAGAGGGAATGGTGAGAAGTGGGTTCCGTCATCCGAAACAATCGGTGTTATGATGAAGCACCTTGAACAAGAGAAGGATGTTGATGGTGCAGAAGAATATATAGAGATCTTGAAGAAATCTGTGGATTCTGTAGGGGTAGAGGTGTTTGAATCATTGATTAGAACTTATGCAGCTGCTGGCAGGACTAGTTCTGCTATGCAACGGCGATTGAAGATGGAGAATGTGAGTGTGAACGAAGACACCCAGAAGTTGCTCGAGGCTATCTCTGTGGAGTGATTCATGGTACTTTCATCCTTCAAGTTTTCATTGATGTAAATTGAGAGGTTGCAACCTTTCTTGTCTGCAGGAAAAATTGGAATTTCAATTTAAACATTTTGAAGTGGTGCATGCTGATAGACCATTAAAGATATCTTATTTTTGTTGAAATACTTGAGATGTTTGGTTGCATTACCAAGGGGATCTAACCAGTAACCTCTGAGCATAAATGTTTTTCTGTGATGACACAAATCTGCAAATAAAATCAGCCTGGATTTAATTTAGATAGCTTAATTATTCACAAATGATTTGGGTAATATTTATAAATAGTAATCTTTATATACTTGCAATATTGTGGTTAATTTTCTGTGTACTTGCTATTGTGATTAAGAGTTGGTATTATATTTATTTATTTTACTGGCATAAAATACAATTCAATGATAGCACTCTGTACATAAAAATGACAAACAATATATGGCATTAAAAGGAGAAGATAAGGGTGGTCTTTGCTTGGGAGGGATACTGATGCAACAGCGTGGTTGAATTATCAATTTAAATGTGAAAACTTTTCTTTGGAAAGTGTTGGGGCTGACGTAGTGACATTACTGAATACTCAATAATCAATATTAGTAATGCACTCTGTATTATTACCACAAAAAAAAGAAGGTAAAATATGTAGAAATGAATGTATTTTCTAGGTAGTAAATGTCCTCATTGGATCTATCACAAAAGCAGTGTTCTCATTTGCTTATTGCAGAATATCTGTTCTTTCAAAACTTCAAATTCCGCATAACAGAGCAATATAGCTTCACTATATAGAACTATATTTTCGATGATTTAAAATCTAAGTTCTACTAGTTTAGTGTCAATGTTATAGTTTTAGTTATAACATTGCTATTTACCGCACACTATTGAATCCAGAGAATCCAGAGTTTATTCTGATTATTCTTGATTCATTTTATAAAATTAATTTAAATGTTTTAATAAACCATTTTTTTAAATAATTAGACATCAATTTTTATATCAAATGTGATCTAGGAAAAGGCTTCGTGTATGAAGACAAAGGATATACTCAGATAGTTGGATACTCCGATGTTGATTGGACAAGGTCACCCATTGATAGACGATCCACCTCTGGGTATTGTGTATTTGTTAGATGAAACCTTATATCCTAACAAAGTAAGAAACAAAATGTAGTTGCAAGATCAAGCGTCGAGACAGAGTATAAGGTCATTGCAATAACAACAGGTGAACTCATTTGGTTAAAACAGTTGCTCAAAGAACTTCAGATTGAAGAATCATGACCAATGAAACTTGTTTGTGATAATCAAGTTGCATTACACATTGCTTCAAATTCGGTCTTCCATGTGAGTGTCAAACATATTTAGATAGACTGTCATTTTTCAGAGAAAATATTGAATCACGCGACATCGTCACAAGCTTTGTCAACTCTAATAATCAATTGATACATGTGCTTACAAAATTCCTACGAAGTTGAAACTAATTATATATGTGACAAGCTTGGTGCATTTGACTTATATGTTCAAACTTGAGGGGAGTGTTTATATTTGTAAATATATAGCATTAAAAATATTTGTATTTAGGATAGTCTCACATCTATTTTATCATGTAATTAGTTGTAATCTATCTATATATAATATAGTCTTCGTAGTGCTTTTCAAAACACACGGTTTATTCAAATGTCTCTTGATATGTCGTATTTCAACAATAAGGATATGAGAAACTTACCAAATGCGAGAGATGTCTTGCTCAATTTGAATGGAGAGAAGTAGAAGTTGGTGAAGATCTTAGGTTTGTAAGTACACAAGTAAAACTTGAGAGAAAGTTTGAAACAATGTGAGAGATGAGAGATCTGCTTTTGTTTTGTTTCAAATGGAAGGAAAATAAACGGAAAAGATAGGGCGTGATTACTTAAATGAAAACGTCTGGATTTTGAAATCCGTAAGTTTAATCTAGAGTGTGAAATCCAGACATTTCTTTTATCTGATTTATTCTAGTGTCTTGAGGTGCGCCTGATTTCTAAATTTTGTATATTTGTTTACTTGCATTTTGCGTATTATTTACTGTGTCCGAATTTTAAAATCCAAATTTTAAGAGTATTTTAAAAAAATTGCTAGGGTATTGTGCGTGAGACATGAGGTATAATGAACAATCGAATGTCTTTTTTATTTATTTTGTTTTTAAACCCTGCTTGTCTTTTTTTTAGAATAGGATTAAGTGAATTTTAAGTGATAAAAAAAACTAAGTTAATTCTTTTTCAATATCTTTAGAATCAAAGAAAATCATACTTAAAACATGATTTTTATGCATTTTTATGAGTTTTAAACTTATGCTTTTTGTGCAAGCTTTGAGATTGAAACTTTTGTTGATTTATTTTTTAGATTAAAGCTGTATATGTAACTACTAGATAGTTTCTAGTTTCAACTACCAAATGTATGAGTCAATAAACTGGGTAGTGATTCTATCTGTTTTTCTTTTATATTAAAATATACTACTTGAAGGCACAACTAGTTTATAACTTTTGAGAATCCATCAGTTGCAAGACTTTGGTGGGTGTGTCTGTAATACTGTGTAGTGGCTAATTTTTGCTGACATTTGGTAATTGGTCTCCATTTTTCCTTTCAACCAAGAGCTACAAAACTCCTCTTGGCCACCAAACTTCAACAGCACCTCAACAACACTATGTTGATTAATTCTTTTATAAGTACAATATTTTCATGTTCTCAATTCAATTCTATAAGTCACTACTTATATATTGAAACAATTTGAGTTACCTCGCCAAAATGTGGCGGATATAGAAGCCACCATCAAACAATGTAATAAGGAGGTTGCACCACGCTGGAGAAGCAGGGCACATGCTTGATTTATCAAAAATACGAGCATGTGCTCTGGCTCTCCATCATGGATTCTCTCTCCTCTCTCCTGTGACTAATATAAATTGAGATTATAGTTATACATTTCAAATGTCAGTTGCAAGGTAAGTTCTTCTAATTGCTTTTGTATGAGTAAATATTGTATAATCCACACTTCGAAACACTGACAAATTTCTATCTTAATCCAATTCATTTTGGCCAATGGATCATTTATATTATGTCACACATAAGAACTACTATATTCACTATAACATTACATGCTCAGACTTTCTTAAGGATCAAGAAAACGCATTGGCTTCAGTCTCGGCTCTAACAAGGCTAGCATACAAACCATTTTGAAGGGTAGAAATAAGAGTGTCATGGCTACCATACTCAACAACTTCACCATTTTTCATTACTGCAATTTTATCGGCTTCTCTGATCGTGGAAAGACGGTGTGCAACGATTATTGTCGTTGCCTCTTTGGAGACATTCTTAAGAGCTTCTTGGATGTGTTTTTCTGATTCCAAGTCCAATGCACTGCTTGCTTCATCAAGTAGAAGTACCTTTGATTTCTTCAATATTGCTCTTGCTATAGCTATTCTTTGTTTTTGTCCACCTGATAATTGGACTCCACTCTCACCAACCTATAGTATGTATAGAGAATATTATAAATCATTAACCATGTGTTTATTAATAGAAGGGTGTTGGAAATATCATGTAAAAGGACAGCCCCGACTTATTGACTACGTGACTACGTGGATTTTCTTTATGAAATACTGAGACAGACATCAGACACAACACTGATATGTAGATACCAATATTGCGTGATTGAATGTAACATGTAAAAGTGAAATGCCGTGTTTACTAAGTACTAATATACCTGAGTTTCATAACCCTGAGGGAGTCCGCTGATAAACTTGTGAATGTAAGCCTCCATTGCAGCAGCTTCAATTTCGGCCCATGAGGCCTTTTGGTCACCAAATGCAATATTTTCCCTTATACTCCCAGCAAAAAGTGCAGGTTCTTGACCAACCAAACCGATTTGTCTCCTCAACCACTTAACATCGATCTCCCTCAGATCGACACCACTCATCATAACCTTCCCTTGATCAGGATCATAAAACCGCTGTGTCATCCACACAACGGTTGATTTTCCTGATCCACTTGGTCCCACCAATGCCACTGTACTTCCACCTTTAACCTTCAAACAGAAATCCCTCAATATAGTTATCTCAGGCCTTGATGGATATGCGAATGTCACCATTTTGAATTCTATTTTGAAGCTCTTTGATTTATCAACTTTTCTAGTTTTTCTTCCATCATTTCCTATCAATGGTTTTCTGTTTATAACATCTTGAACTGCAGGAATTGATGTAGCGGCCATAGAAGTATCAGGTGCTAAACCGGCTAGTTGTCCAACCGAAAACGAACTCAAAACAAGAATGAGAAAAATCTTATAAACATCTTCAAACTTTCCTTCGTCGCGTTTTACAAGGTATGCACCGAACCAAAGAGTTAAGGTGTATGCTGCATACATAGCACCTTGAAAGAGTCCAAAAACAAGACCTTGAAGCTGTGAACTTTTTAATGATTTTTTTCTCGGTTCTGATAAGGCTTTATCAAAGGATTTAACTATTTGTTCCTGAGCAGAAAATGTAGCAACTGTCCTAATATTCGAAACTGCACCGGAAGCAATATTACTAGCTCTTGCATATGAGTCGTTATTGATTTTCGGACCAATGTTTATGATCAAGTTTATGTAACTTGCACCAAGGGTCAAAGGAGTTACAGCAGCTGCAACAAGGGTTAGTTTCACGTTAAAGGCAAAGGACACGCCAAGTCCAACAGCAGCTGAACTCAATCCCATAAGAAGTACTGAGAATCTGTCGCCGAGTACGGAACGGAAACTAACCGCGTCTATAGAGAGTCGTGATACCAATACACCGGTCGAGTTTTCATCAAAATCAAACCATCCGGGTTCTTGTCTTAGTATTGATTGAAACAAGAGGTTTCTAACCCTGAGTGTTAGTTTTGAACCTGCCCAACCACATAAACCTTGTTGTCCTGTCATGGAAAGTATGCAACCGAATCCGAGTCCGACAAGTACTAAACAAAGGTACCCTACATCTCTTTTCATTTTTGAAGTATCATTGCCAAAATATACTCCAAGGGATATGCCTAAAACCAATGGAAAAAGGGAAAGAAAAGCGCCTGCAAACATTCCCATAACAAGACCGGAAGATAGCATCATAAATTCCGGCTTTTGCAACTTCCATACCTCAGAAAGTTTGTATTTTCTTGCCTTTTTATCTTGTTTGTCTTCAATATCTTCTTGACTCTCATCCTGCATTGAATCCATGTGCTTAGACCTTGAGATATCAACTAGATAACTTGATTTTGCTATATCAGAAACATATTTATTATTCATAGACGATAAATCCTTGGTTTTTTGCATGCCATTTTCTACAGGAAGAGGTTTTGAAATGGATTCAGTTGCAAGTTTGACAAGGTTGTAGTAGGTTCCGGATTTCGCCATAAGCTGACGATGGTCGCCGATCTCGGTTACAGTACCATGTTCAAGAACTACAATGGCATCGGCATTCTTCACCGTAGCTATCCTATGAGCAATGACAATGGTTGTTCTGCCTGCAGAAATCTTGTCAATAGCCCTTTGGACTGCAGCCTCCGACTCAGCATCAAGAGCACTAGTCGGTTCATCTAAAAGAAGAATTTTAGGATTTTTTATCATTGCTCTAGCCAATGCAATTCTTTGCTTTTGACCTCCTGAAAGCTTTGTGCCTCTATCACCAACCTGAAAAGAAAATGATACTTTCTATTGGTAAGAGTCAAACCATAAATAGCTTCTATAGCGTAGCAGAATTTGAACAAATCGCTATTGTTCTACAATACGCTATAGTGTAGCACTGTTGCATAGCATAATCTAGAAATGGTGAAAGATTTTTGTGATTGGTTACTGAACCTGAGTGTCATAACGTAACGGCAAGCTAGAGATGAATTTGTGAGCATCAGCAGCAATACAGGCAGAAATCGCTTCTTCCTTGGTTGCATTATCTTTCCCCATCATCACATTTTCGAGTATAGATGTAGCAAACAGAATCGGCTCTTGACCAACCATCCCAATTTGATCCCTTAACCACTTTACTTGCAGTGTCCTTAAATCATGACCATCCAAGGTAACAATCCCTTCTATAGGGTCATAGAACCTTTCTATGAGAGCAAAGATAGTTGATTTTCCACCTCCACTTGCACCAACCAATGCCAAAGTTTTCGAAGATGGAAATACCAAATTAATGGAATTAAGTATAAGGGAATCCGGACGAGATGGATAAGCAAAAATAACATTCTTTAACTCAATCCTTCCACGAGCAGATGAAAGCTTCCTACCCTCAGAATTATACGGATCAATCTCAGGAATTCGCTCTATAATATAGAACACGCGGCTTGCTGCAACAGTTCCTTGTGCAAATTGCGCGAAATATGAAAGTGCCAATGCCAAGCCTCTGTCAATAAACAAATAAATAACATATGAGAAAACAGTTGAATCGAACGTTATAAACAAAGTTAAAGAGAGACGAAAACACACCTTCCACCAACATTGACACCAAAGAAACAAGCAATAGCAGAACCACCATCAAGTTCACCCTTGGAAATTAAGATAGAACCATACCAAAAAGCCAAAGCCCATGTTGAATATGTTACTAAGTAGATAACACCCATTCCCGCACCTTTAGCAAAACCAATTCTAGCTCCAATTGGAGCTGATTTTTCAAGTAAGTCAGAATATTTTTCACCCAATTGGCTTTCAGCAACAAAAGAAAACACTGTCCTAATCGAACTTATGGCCTGCTCCGCAATGCTTCCAGCTTTCCTATAAGAAGCCTTCATACCAAAAATACATATCAAGTAATTAAGAACAAACATACATAAGAATTTAACTGATATACACTGACGGTGTATGAAAATTAACGAGAAATAGTTATGCGTTTGTTTTGATCTTACCTCTTCTTTTGCGGTTAGACCACCATAGAGTGCTTTGTAAGTCATACCACACAACATTGTTAATGGTGTCACTGAAAATACAACCAATGATACTTTCCATGATCTTCTAAATCCAACCGCATATCCACATATGAATGTAAATACGTGATGAATGAAGTGAGCCATCTGCATTCAGATCAAATAAGTTGTTATGAATGTAACTATAAAGTTTTTCTTAGCAGAAAAATATTAACAGGAGTTCATCAACCTTCTCTCCCATAACTTCTTGAATTTGTGCAACATCACTAGCAATTCCATGCATAATATCACCGGTATTAATCTCCGTATCAAAAAAACTTATGTCCTGTCGAAGAATTGCTCTTAGATACTCGGTTCTTATTCGTTGAGCTGATCTCTCCCCGACTAGTCTCCAACATGTAATCTCTGCGAGTTTTAGTCATCGAAAAAATCATTGTTGATACGTCATGTGTTCTAGGCAAATATGATTATTTAGCGATTTGATCTCCTTACCCATATATGCTCCAACTACCACAACTGCAGCTAAGCCAGTCATAAATACACATATCTGAAAATTACAATAAGAGTAAGACAATGAAAACTTACTCAAAATCACGCATCTGACATATAATCGTGAGATTTAGACCATTGGATTAGAGATCGAACGATCCAAATTCTAACTATGGTAAATTAGGAGAATTAGTATACCTGCTCTACATCCTTCATCAATTGACCTTTGTCATTTTTTGCTTCTCTTGAAAGCTTGTTAACCAAGTTTCCAAAAAGATAAGAATACCAAGGAAGTGATCCGCCGTTTATAAGAGCTCCTACACAGCCGATAAACACAAGTAACCAATCCCAATTCCTTGTATATCTAAACAAGCTAAACAGCCCAACATTCTTTGGAGGACCTGCAGCATCATCATCATCATCCATATCGTCATCACCTTCGTTATCATATCCTGATACCAGTTTACTCTCATAATGACTATAACCACCACCACCACCATAAATTTGACTAGGAGATTTGCTACCATACGGTGGTACTGCATGACCATGATCACGATCACGTATAACCTGTTCATCTGATATACTATCATCAATCACGCTGAGCTCGTCTTCTTCAGCCAATGGACTAGTCTTATCATGAATATTACGATTTCCGCCACTCACTCCTTTGATGATTCCCAATTTGGAGAATCCACTATATTGATCAAAGTAACTATGATCATTATTGTCCCTAGCAACATGGCTCCTAAGCTCAACTCTCCCATACGAAGAATGTTCATTTGTTGAGTCTCTATGACCACGAAAACCACCCATTCTAGAAAGGTAATAGTCATTAGCCGACTGGCGAAACACACGACTACGATCAGAGACGGAGTTGGTTGGCCATGGACTAAGAACAGACCCGAAATTCGTGCTATGTTCACGCAACCCGGTTGGTTCAAACTTCCACGAAACTTCACTTTGCCATGAACGGTCGTCATCTGAGGCAAAGGGTGTGGATGGAATTCTGTTGCGACGAGTTCTTCTTGTTCTTGGAGTCACGTTGCTTCGAGAAGTGGAATGTATGAAGGAGCTAGAGCCAGAAACACTCTGATAACTCACTGGAGTTGGATAGTGTCTTCTCTGGTTGATGTCAATCTCAAAGGAAGAATCAGCCATGGCTAGCTAGCTACCTAGCTGCCAGTGCTTAGTTTTCTTTTTAATAATAAGTTGTAGAGAAAGTGATCAAATGTTCAACTTTGTGATTAGTGTACATAGAGATTGGTCCAATTTAACGAAAATCTTGTACAATATATTTATGCAGACATTGTTGTACTAGGACGGCATATATTGCCATATGGCCGGCATAGCATAAGCAGTAAGCATAGTTAATTAGTTTAAGAATGTCTTCCAAATTTCAGCAGACTTTTCTTTAGAGAATAATGTTGGTATTGAACTTTTGAAGGGACTTATGTTACGTAGTTAATTGATTATTGTCTTATGTCAAACTTTCTTTCCTCTAATCAGAACAGAATATACTTATTTCAAAAGTATCGTGTTGTTGCCTTTCTTATTATGACGTGTCATATATTATTAAAAACTGCAAAACTTGTCAAGCATTTTGAAAAAGGAATATTTGAGGAGGAAAAGAAAAAGAAGGAACAAACAAATACTACCCTAGATAGTAACCATACAAAGTTGATTGCTTTGTTGTTAATTGATCAAATTGCTTCATAGGAGATATCAAATGGATATTTTGACAGCTAATGTTGGATAGTAAGTGCAGAGACAGTTGTTTGTTCATTTTTGAACTAATCTTATAATCATGTCCTTGAGTTTCTTATACATACAAAGAGTACAGTGATGAATCCTTCAGTAAAGAACAAAACTAAAGTGGCAAAGGATTTCAATATTTCTTATTTGTCTGTTCATAAGGGAGGGAAATAATCTTTTTCGAAAGGCTAATATCATACTCCGCAATCGCATTACTCTTAATTCTGACTATACTGACTAACAAGAGTTCAACTCTGATATACATCATCATCACACAAGTAAATCGAAGTAAAAACGCAAAAAAAAAAAAAAAAAAAAAAAAAGAATGCCACTACTTCCAAAATTACAAAGACACTGCACTAGAGTATGCAGCATATTTAAACACAACCATGACTAACTAAATCAAAGGTAAAAAAAAAAAACTCATGAATCCAAGAAAATGTACATTACTCCATATTATATATCTTTCATATAGATGCACTGTATCATTCCTACCTCTCTTTTATGTATCATAATTTTTTTAAGCTTTCCTTTACACCCTACCATTGAAGATGACGCAAATCACTTGACAGACCCAACTCGGTGAAATATCATCTAGGTTTCGAGTCACTTCCCTTGCTTCGGAAAGTTGAGAGCGAAAAGAATGATTTGGGAGCTGCACAAAATGGAAATTAATGTGTAAATTTTATGTTGTTGCGTGACCGATACTAAATCTGAAACAAATAAGAATAAGAATACATAGGCATCACCTTTTAATGAACTTCCTGATATATGATCATCCCTCAGTTTAAAATGGGCTGGAGGTGCAGGAATAGAGCTTTGTAAGGATTGAACTGCAAGAATTGAGAATCAGATTATCAATTACAAACTGAATCATATTTTATCCATTAAGCAAAAACAAAAGGTGAAATTTTTAGTATCTAGACATGAACATCCAAGACCAATAAGAGAAATCATGATAGTTACAAAAGAAGAATCATTCATCAAAATGAGCAAACAGATGCAAAGATGAAGAAGAATCTATTTTCCAGATGCAGGCTATCACAAGAAATTGGCAAAAAGAATTTTAGAAAGAAGGGTTTAAATTTATATGCAAGATGTAATCAAGCATGTTGATCAATAAGAAGAAATTTGAGTAAATAATAGGTTACCCTTACCCTGTTCGTTGAACAGCTCACTTTCATTGAAGCTGTCATCAGAAGGATGGCCGTGAGAGAATCCCATTCTCGATTTCCTCAAGTCTTCTGAGGACCGGTTGGCTAGATCTCGGCCATCTTCCATATCATCATCTCCTTCAGAAGTTGTAGCAGAGATCCAATCAGCCAAAGTCTCTGACCCGCGAGTTTTTCTCCCAAACTTAAGCAATCGCTTAAAGCCTTTCGTGACATCTTTGCGGGGTTGATTTTGGGACGAATTAGCAAGATAAGGTTTTTGAGCACTACCCCATTTTTTCCTCATTCGAGCGGCGTCATTTTCACCCTGGATAAGGGAACGAGAATTCCAAGCAGGGCTTCCAATTGGAGAATCTATAGAAGCATCAATGTCAGAAGACTCGTGTGTGTAAGAAAAAGGATGAGGCACACGTGAGTTCCAGGATACAGGACTTCCAACTGGAGAGTCCTGCAGCGATCCTACACCGTTGAAAGTTGATTGATATGCATTAGGCATTTCACCCCCTAAAATAGGATCTACTTGAGCAAGAGATCTTGTAGAATCACCAATTTCAGACCCAGAATTACCAGATTCCTGACTCGGACTAATCTTCCCGTTATTATTATAAGCACTATCTTCAATAGCCACGCTTCCAATTTCATCCTCTTCTTCTATGGCCGAATGGAATGAATCTTCCATATCAAATTCTAGGTCATTAAATTCTTTATTTTTCTCAGTATCAGATGTCATTGAAGCTTTCATTCTCATGGCACTGCCTACAAAACCAGGGCCTGCGGTACTACCCTTTTTAAGGAAAGACCTGGATGATTGATCGTAGGGACCCAGATCAGCCTCATCCAAATCAAACTTCAATGGAGTCAAAACAATCCCATCTGAGTTCAAAGAGGACACGTCCTTAAACTCTGCAGGGTTGGCAGAGCTCTTCCGTAAAGACAGACTTTGTCTTAGCTTCTCTTCCTTGATACCTTGCTCATCTTCATTAGTGCTTTTGCTACGAGGAAAGTTTCTCAACTGAGAGCGGGTTGGTTTACTGACTCCAGAAGAAGGCTTTGTATTTTCTTTTCTTAAATCGGAGAAGTTGGGAACAGATTGAGCAAGAGGATTGTCTTTCCGTCTTCCAGATGAACGTGACACGGACACTGCTGTTGTGCGAGGTGTGCCTGAAGAGACATTCCTATTGGGAACATTTTTCCTACTTTGCTTTGAAGCACCATATATCTTTTCTTCCGAAAATTCAGAAAGATCTTCATCCTCTTCATTCTGAAAGGAATCTATAGGATGCTGTTGAAAAATGAGGAATTTAAATTAGAAACATAATGGATTTTAGCCTTTAAAAGTCAAAACAAACTTGATTTTTTAGAACATTTAAACATAGCAACAAAAACAACAAAGCTAGAAATGGTTACCTGGTCTCTCTTAATACTTGGTTTGTTGTATCCAAGTTTCTCGGCGCGTTGAGAACCTCCTGCTGAATTTTGTCGGCTTATAGACCCTGAAAACTTGGCTTTCATCTCAGCCTTACTCCGGTCAAGACTATCCTGCATGGCCCTCATCCGAGCTTCCTTCTCTGATCTGTTCACACTCCATTCCTCCTGAAGTTTAGCATTCCTCTTCTTCATGTACTTTTCATAAAACTTCCCTCTAGACTCATCTCCATAATTCTGACTATCCACCGACTTTGTAAGCGTCTTAACACCAGAGCTCGTAGCTGGTTCAGGCACACTGCTTCTAGAAGGCGGCTGAGGAGTTGAATCCCCCGCTGTAGGTCTTCTAGACTGCGAGGTAACAGCCTGTTCAACACGTGCCTCAGCAGGCTCGATTCTCCGTGCAGTACCAGATTGGTCTCCCCTCAGTTTATGCTCAGCAAAAAGCTTTTCAAGCTCATCAGCCTTCAGTTTCAGCTCATCATGCATCTCCTGATTACCTTTAGACTGCCTTACTCTCTGATTCTGCTCCAAAGGCACGGCGGTTACACGGGCACTATCCTGACTCTCCATAACATTCTTTTTACCAGGATGGTTCAACTTAGTACTTTCATTATCATTAGCACGCCGAATTTCATCCCTTTTACTCCGTGACATCCCGGTTTGCTCCGAACTCAAAGGTAGAGGCTTCTGATACTTAGTTTTCATGACTTGAGAATCCTCTTCCTTAACCTGAGAATTCTTCAAATCCTCAGTATCTACAGCAAAAGATCTCAACTGAGGCTGAGTTGTAGATTGAGTAACACCATTTAAAACAACAGAAGAATGAGAAGAAGTAGAAGATTCTCTTGATTTGATTCCAACACCACCACCACCTTCAAACTGAGCTGAAAGAGACCTAGAATGACTACGTTGGACCCTACTCAGTGACGTGGGAACCACATTACTTTTCACACCACCATGAAACTTAACATCATCAACGTCTTTATTATCATCAACAGTAACCTCGTACCTATCAGATGAAGCTTTCACTTGCGTCCCAGAAACACCCGCTTGATCTTTGAACCCTACTCCTCCACTTCTCTCTTCATCAAAAACCGAAACGTCACAACTCTCCTGAGAAGACCCTTGTTCAGTTTTCACAACCTTGTCCGAATTATTATTATTATTATTATTATGATTATTATTATTATTATTATTATTGTTATCTATGAAGGTTGTAGCACTAGCAATAGACTTATTTTCTGTAGAAGAAGGGTTCTCGGAAAGTTTTTTCTCGATGCTGACGTCAATGCTCATATCACTGCTTCCACTCCACCGTCGCAAAATATCGGAGGACATTCTCCGAAGCTCCACCGGTTTTCCGGTTGTATTCTCTTTTTGTTTCTTCTCGAACAAATTGATTCTGTCTTGAACACTGAGCCGCCGTCCCGTTGGAGCCGGTGTTGGAGAAGACGGCAACTGAGTCGGCGATGGGGCCGGCGACGATGACTCGGTCTCTTCTTTACTGTTGCCGCCGTCGTTGTTGTCTTTCGCTTCGTCTTTCTGGTTTATTATTATAACTTTGCTGTTGGTGTCGTTGTTACGTCTCAGCGATGTGGGAGTTGTAAACGCCTTGGGTGCTTGCCACGTGGAGGCCTTGTTTTGTTCTTGGGCCTCATTTTGGGCTTGGGCCTGATCGTCGTCGTTATCAATGGACATGTCGGAGTTAACCGATGAGCGAAGGTCCCTCTCATCGCCACGTGGCAGTTCGCGTTGGATAATTATGTCCGGTCTTCTTTCGTACACAGACATATACTTGGTACACGCTTCACTAATAAATCAATAAAAAAAACAACACAAGGGTATATTAGTCATTTGATAATAAAATATAAGTATTAAATGCAATTTTGAAGGTTGGTGGTTACTTCAAGCGATGAGAACGAAAATGAAGTGCGAAATGTTTGAGATGAGAGACAGTGTGAGGGTTAAAGCCAGATGCTGATGCGGTGGCGTATGCTGTGGTTAAGTCCTGCCTTACTGCACTCAGTCTCACATCAATAGCTCTTAGAAGTTCCTTCCTGTACAAGTCGTAACAACAAAAACAATTAATAACAATAACAATAACACCATCAACAACAAAAGGAGACAAGTAAAAATGACAATTTCCACATAATGGTTGTTTGTTCATTATCACTAGATAAGCCTATCAGTCTCAAAGGATCATAGTCATACAACTACTACTAATTGGAATGTCTTTTCCGGTTAAGTTATCGTTGTCGGAATGGTCGTGTACACTAAAATCATTTATGTAGATGTGTAATCTTTACCAATTCATCTTATATAATCAATCCTTTCTTACAAGAGGCCTATATTGGTTTCGTCGTCTTCTCATTTTCCTAAGGTAATATTCAACTTTCTGTTTAACATAATTACACATGTTCTTAATCTTTTTTTTTCATTTTGTAATGTCCACTTAAAGTTCATATATTAGAACCAATTATTTTGTACATAGCATAACAGTGTAACTATTTAGTAATAGTACCGTTACCATGTAGTTTCAATGGAGTCTCTTATCTATAGATATGTAGCTGCGAAGTTTTTTTATATCTAATCACAGTAGAGGAAATATACCACACAGAAAAAGAACACGTAATGAAAGATGTAGTGCACCCAGAAACAATGAAAGTGTATAGAAATATTACGTTGTTGCATCTGTCGCTGCGATGACTCTTGTTCCTTCCCCACCTGGAGCAAATTCATCAAAATATTGTCACCGTGTTAGTGTTATTTTTAAACCGAGAATTGTGAAACCAAAACTCTCGTATCAGCATGCATGAGTCGTAGTCCCTTTGACATTGCCATGCATAACTACAAGCTCAATATAATAAATATAACATAACATATCAGAGCAATGAAAACTTTGGCTGCATTGTTTATCTCAACTTGTTTCTATCTAGAGTTGTTTTAAATATAATGTTCTTATATTGTCTTTACTTTTATAAATTTCTTCATTTTATCATTATTTTCTCTGCATCAAAGTTCACGGGATTCCTAGGTCTTGTTGAATATTTAACCTACAGAACAATTTTGTTGATGCAAATATTAGAGCATGTGTCATTAAGAATAAGTATGATGTTTCTTTCTTCTCTCGCTACAATTCTCTTACCTCATTTTCAATCTATCTAAAGTAAGGATGGAAAAATATCTGCATCCGTGGATACCGTATGGCTACTCGCAATGGAGGGAGAAATGGATATCTATTCAGTGGGTGGGGATAATAATACCTGTTCATGGATACCCGATACCTGTTTGTGGATCCCGGCGGGTGCATAACAATTATTTTGTTATTAAATATATAAATATGATAAATATGATGTATTGTGACATTTTCCATTGGTTTTAGATGATATAAATTATTTATTTCATTATTTTATATATTGTAGGGGATGAAGAGTAGTCAATCCCGTATAGCGGCCTGGGGTGGTCAACCCTACAAATGGATAGAGCCGGGATGGCCGCTATTTGATCATTTTTTGGACAAGTGCAGAGAGGTGAGGAAGGAACTTGTGATTTTACTTAGGAACAACTGAAATGCAGATATGTCGATGAAGGAAGGTTAGGGTGGAGTCTCAACTTACATTTGATTGAAAACCCCAAAATTACCCTAAAGACATTTTAAATTTAAGGGTTTTATATATTGTAGGGGATGAAGAGTAGTCAATCCCATATAGCGGCCTGGGGTGGTCAACCCTACAAATGGGATAGAGCCGGGATGGCCGCTATTTGATCATTTTTTGGACAAGTGCAGAGAGGTGAGGAAGGAACTTGTGATTTTACTTTGGAACAACTGAAGTGCAGATACATCGATGAAGGAAGGTTAGGGTGGAGTCTCAACTTAAATTTGATTGAAAACCCCAAAATTACCCTAAAGACATTTTAAATTTAAGGGGTAATTTTGATTTTTTAGAGGGGGAAAGGATAGCGGGACAGAAACCGCTCCGGGCCGGGAACTGCTACGCCCCCGCCACCTGATATTTACCCTATAATGCCTGCTATAGTGTTCTGCATCGCTAAGGCTCTTCCCATTGCGGCCAGTCTCCGCTCTGCTATAGCGGGATAGCGCCACTATTGATCGAAGAACTATATCATTAAAATTTGTTTTATATATGGTATATTATATAATGTCGCCACACCCCATTGTCATCCTTAATCCAAATATAGAACTTCCATCAAGTTGAAGTTGAGTATAAACTAGACAATAATTAAACTAATACAGAAACAACATAACATTCCAAAAGGGCCTAATTACTTAAATCAAGGCATGAAGATTTAATCATAACAAACAATTATTCCATTTTATGATCAACTACGTACACTGGCGATATACTCAAAGAGGAAACAATAATGGAAAGCATATAAGGTTTACTGACGAACTTTGATATTGATCAAACTTTCAAATTTGGACAAAATATCATCCTAATCAAAATAACTAAAATTTTATAATCGTCTCATATGTTACTTTCATATTTTTTCTATAATTGATGAAAAACTATGTATCCCTATGCCTACATTGAATGCAGTCTAGTGTCTATTTGAAACAAAAACATACCTTGTGAATCCATGCGCTGATCTCCGGTCCCCTAAAATAAGATATTCAAAATATAAGCAATACAAAAAAACATAAAGACATTGCTTTCATCCAGTGTTTGCACCAATTTCCTTGATTTTTTCATAAGTCGTTCATTACCTGAGAATATATTTTCCGTGCTGCTTCCAACTGCGACATCTCTGCGTCAAAGGTGTTCACCATTTCCAAAACTTCTGGCATGCCAACATACCGCACAAACCTGTGAGCATCATCAACACCAACCAGTCAGAAAGTAAATCAAAAGGCACACCGCAGCATACAAATGAAGCAAATCCAATGAAACTAATACGGCCTTCACCTCTCAAATGTTCCTTTTGTAAACCACGACTCGGAATTTTTCTGTCTATCAATGTCTAGTCTGATTGACTGCACGGAAAGTGCAGCCTGCTCTTCCGCAATCTTTAAATGGTTCAAGTATGGCTTTACTAATCCTGATGCTAGTTTTTCAGTGATTCCGTCACTCGAAACAAGCAACTCACATCTGCCAATTTAATATAAAGAAAAACATCAAAACATGATCATAAACTCTAACCAGCAGAAAAACAACAAAACATAATCCGAAAATCCAACTAATTATATCACACCTTGAACGCTTCGGAGACAACTGCAACACGGCATAGTCAAGAAGAGTGTCAGACCTCATTTTCGTCTATTTAAGGTAACACCGCACCACTATTCAGATCATTTCAATTTTCACAATGATTTATCTACAGAACCAATCATAACCAGCAAAACTGCACACAAGAAATCCCAAAATCAGAATGTAGATTCTCTAAAACCACATAGAAAAAATCAGAGAAAACTAAAACTTTTTGCCAAATTCTCTCAGTTTATCATTCCCAAATTGGCATTACTAAACAAAATCCACATTCTCATAAAACTTGAAAACAACACAAAGTCAAGTAAAAACCCAGATGCACAAAAATGTTCAAGAAATCCCACAAACTTCCACCGATAGATCCCAACTCAAAACCCATCAAAATTCAAGCTTTATCACATCAAACCAGAAACCCAAAATCCCCACAAAGAACTCATAACAAAAATAGATCTGATTCAGCAAAAGACCAAACTTGACTAAACCAGTAAACTTGCATACTTCACACAGAAACCCAAAATCCAACACCAACCCAGCAAAACCCACAAAGCCACAACATCAAAAACAAAGAGAATTTCAAGCATTACCACAGTCCAACAAAAACAAAATGCATGGTGCAAAATCAAAGTTAGAAACAAAAACACAAACCCTAAAAACCAACATTTCAAACACGGAACGATCCAATGCAAAGTGCAACAATGAAGATAAGAGATCTTGGATTTTGTTAACCGATCCTCCGATTTAGAGATGAAAAGGGTACACCAGCATTTGCCTCTCCCTTTCTCTCTTCCTTTTTGTGTCTCTCACTGTGGAACCAAATGAACCTATTTCTTCATTTTTTTTTCTCGCAAATTTTAATTTTTTTAAAATAAAATTGAGTTTTACGAAAACCCCACAATGAAAAAGATGGTTTTTGCTTTACTCATCTTTCAATTCAAACCTCTTTCTTCTACTTTCTCTCTCCTCTCTCTCTCTCTACAACCTGTCTCTTAGTTAAGGAAAAAACAAAAATAAAAACTAAATTTTGTTACTGTGTCACATGTTAATTAACATGGTAATAACTAACTATTTAGGATTTTTCAGTTCAAAAAGACAAGAAGAAAAACCTTAAGTGTTGTGTTGTGGTGAATGTTGATTGAGTAGAGACTTGAGTTTTGACTGAAACGGTTACGTTACTATTGATATTTTCTTAGTCATTTTTTATTCAGCGGTTAATTTCTTGTTCAAGCTATAGTGTGTGGTGGTGGTTAACAGATTTGACACATTTATTCTCTCAATTTAAATTATACTGTTTTGGTCATTAAGAAATGTAAAAAGTTATAACAAATTTTATGAATTTTATTTTACCATAAAAAATAATAATAATAAAGAGTAATAAATAGTAAATTATTTGATTATGAATATAATTAATAAGATAATATCCATTTTAACTCTGGCAAATCTGCAAAACACATTGAACACATGTCCTTGGATATGCATAAGAGAGTATTTATCATTAATCCAATTTGTTTCTGATGATTTATTATCACCTAAAAGAGTATATATTATCTAGTTAATATTTATTTTCAAAATTAATTTTACACTAGTATTAATTTTGATGTATGTTTGATTTTAGTTTATTAGTTACGTAGATACAAATTATAGCATATTGTTTAATCTAACAATAATCAAGAATAATTAGAACGGTGTACCTTATAAGATTGAAGAGAAGGTTGTCGAAACTTGTGAGTATGAGAGAATTACTACCCTCATTGCCGTTTAGAATTTTGAGAGTAGTTTAATTATCTAATGGAGAGACACTTAAATAGCTAAACGGTTGAGGGCAGGTACCTCTCATTAAGCTTAACTGAATGGTCCAACCCATTACGGTCTATTCAGGCACAAAACTCATTCAAACAATTCATCTATTTAGTGTTTAATAACAATAGACCATAATATAATTAATTAATAATTAATTATGACAATCTATATTTGATTAATTAAATAATTAATCTAACATTATTTACTTTCAATTTATTATTAAAAAATATTTTTATTTTTAATTTATTATTAATAAATATTCAAATAAATATTAAAATTACAAAATATTAAAATATATTAAAACATTAAAATATATTTACTTTTAATTAATATTTACTAAATATTAAAATATATAATAAATATATTAAAATATAAATATATAATTGATATTAAAATATTAAAATATATTATTAATATAAAAATATAAAAATATATTAAATATAAATATATGATTAATATAAAAATATATATGGTTATTAATATAAAAAAATATCAAAATATATTATTAAAATAAAATAATGAATTTATAAATATTAAAATATATTATTAATATAAAATAACAAAATTATATATTATTATTAAAATATATTAAAGTATATATTAATATAAATATTAAAATATATTAATGAAATTATAAAATGTATTTCATATTCAATTTACTTTAAGTGAAGATACTTGTGACATTTTGTTAGGGATGAATATCAAGTTTGTTCTTCCTATTTCCTACTCAAAATTTAATGAACAACTGAATGAGTATTTGGTTTAATATATATTGATGTGATGGTGTCATATGTCTGATAATGTGTTAATAGATTTTATCCAACTACAAGTGAAGTAAGGGTAAATTTCTTCACTTTCTCTTTTTATTTAATTTTTAGTTGATTTTTGTTGTTTCTCTTTTCATTTCCATTTTAAAATTGTAGGGAATTACAAATAGTTCTTAGAGGTGCCAGGTGCTTTTTCTTCTTTTGTCACTATGAACTCATTTCCAACTTTGTTTGTCTACATATTCAAAGACTTTAATCTTAATAACATATCACTTCATATCATCATGCTTGCAATGAAAGGGTCATTTATATTTTAAACATAAATTAACTGCCATGTGTGATCCTTTTATTCAGTTTCTGTGTCGGTTTATCAAAGCTAAAGGATTTTAACTACTTAAATTTTGTCTATTTAAAAAATCTTATAAGTTTCAGCTTATAGTATTTGAGTCCAATGGCTTAACTAGATTTATAAAATGTCGAATATTTATTGATTTTATGCATAAATATTATTCTCTCTTTATGTACATTTAAATAGAATTATTTCATATAAAGTAAGTTTAACACGTGCGGACACACAAGTGTTTACCTAATTATTATGGAAATATAAATTGCATGGAGCGTACATGATTGATAATTATCAATCAAATCTCATGTAAACTTTCACAATTTGACAAAAATAACAAAGTTGTGTTTATCCATTAACAATTTCGAGTATGATTATTATGGAAATAGAAATTGCATGGAGTGTATACGAGTTTAGTCACACTATAAAGGGTTCATCCTTCAAATGTGATAACTCAATCAAGTTTTCTACTTGTTATTTGCATAAACATCGCCTTATTTTGACATCACAATGTCTTTTCATAGTACATTCATCTTCCCTCACTTGTAAAATGAGTGTGTGAGAAGATCAAAGTATCACACCAATAAATCACAATTAGTTACTTGAATGTTACAATTCATACTTAGGTGATCGACTATGTAAGTTCACACTAGAACATTGTCGTTTGTGGATGGGCATGGTAAAGATTATATAGATAGAAAATCTAATCTAATAAGTTCACTCACATAAATACTTGGATAAGAAAGATTCACTTAAAGACTCATAAATGCATTAGCATAGGTGAGTACATGACGAATTAGGATGGGTTATAATAAACCCCGACCTTACCCTAAATTTTGATTGGACCATTTTGAAGACCATAAAATTAAATAAATTTGATAAACCTAACTTATATAACAATTTTAAGAAACAAAATTGTATAAGTACATAGTACAACCATTAGGTCTTAGCTCAGAGAAGGAGTTTTAGGTCACAAACACCTTAGAGGAAACCAAAAATCCTTGAATGAAGGTGCAACGAAGAAGACATGAAAGGTATGAGGTTAACCATTAAGAATAAATAAATTAACATAATCTCAAGAGGATTCTCTAAATGAAGTCCATCCAATATATTTTAAAAAATTAATTGTCAATATTCAAAATTAATTTTCACCCATACATTGGTAGAAAACATCTTATCGATAATTACATTTTCAAAAGGAGAAAAAATACTACAAAGGAACATACATGTAACAATAAGGATTACTGGTTGTCTTGATAGGAAAAGTAAACTACACAGGAAAATGAGTCTTATTGGCCAAGGTAGTTATACCGACTTTATATTTTGTGAAGCCTGAAGTTGCATGTATATGCTACATTAAAGGGGAGACTATGCATGTCTCTACTTATGGTTTTGTTACCTGTCCTTTAAACTTTATTTCGGTTATAGTATTATATCAATGATTATACTATTCAATTGCGCATTTATGAGGATCAAGTTTTAGATCCATATATTTTCTAGCATGCATAATTCAAATTGTTTGTGTTTGAGTATGAACAGTGTGATTTAAGTTAATTAGTCAAGTTTTTTGGAACAAAAACCACATTTGAGATTTGTTCAAGTCACGACACAAGTAGAATTTCAAAATAACTTCAAAAATTGCAACAAAAAAAAAGATTTTAGGTGTGTGATTCAAATTACACACCCTATGAGTCGAATCAAATCAAATATAGGGAAATAAGAGTTTTTGTGATTCTGTGAGTCGAATCACAGGTTGTACATTATTCATATCATGGAACCCTAAGACTCGAATCTCAGCTTGTACATGAGTCGTATCACATAATTCTTGTCAGCCCCTATCTTGTTTGACTCAAATCGTGGCTTCTTCATGACTCAAATCACACATAGCATGAGTCGAATCACAAGTTACTCTTGACTCGAATCATAGCAAAATGGGTTTCTCATAAAGTGTAGATCTTGTTCCACATAACTCAAATCACTCAAGTGTTCACGACTCGAATCAAATATGATTTTTCACTAATTGTTGTGCTTCATCCCCAGCACTTATACATCATTCTTCTCTCAAAATCATTCACAATTTTAGAAAACATGCACTTACTTTTATGATTTTAAAACTCATAAACCACTTGTTTTTTCAT